TCGAAGCCGACCCAAGCTTCTAAGAGTCCCTTAAAAAATGGTCCTAAAAAATCTAATGTACAGTCTTCGACCTCGAAGCCGACCCAAGCTTCTAAGAGTCCCTTAAAAAATGGTCCTAAAAAATCTAATGTACAGTCTTCGACCTCGAAGCCGACCCAAGCTTCTAAGAGTCCCTTAAAAAATGGTCCTAAAAAATCTAATGTACAGTCTTCGACCTCGAATCCGACCCAAGCTTCTAAGAGTTCCTCAAAAAATGGTCCTAAAAAATCTAACATAACTTCAACCTCAAAACCGACTCCAGTTTATAAGAGTTCCTCAAACAATACTGCTAAAAAAACTAATGTACAGTCTTCGACCTCGAAGCCGACTAAAGTCACAGACAGTGTTGATGCTAAAGTGTCTGATAAACCTCCAAAACAGACTCATTCTAAGAGTTCCTTAACTAAAACTTCTACTGAAACATCTACACCATTTTTATATAAAGCAACTACGAAGAAGACATTAACTGAAGGAAGCTTGACTAAAACCTTCAGTGATTATCGAAAACATCTTCCATTAAATACTAAAGCAACTACGAAGGGAACACAATCAACGACATTAATGCCAACAGCTTTTACTAAAACATCTACACCATTTTTATATAAAACATCTACACCATTTTTATATAAAACCACAAAGCCGACATCAACTAACGCAGCTAATTTGCCAACTGCGATAACTTTAACATCATCAGGGACGATATGTTTAACTACAACTAACTTAATATCAAAGAATATTCACATTACAAGCTCAACATCCCTTAGTTTTTCAACGGATCATCCCTACAAACCATCGCTTACGAGTACATTCGTTACGCGTACTAAACCACATAAACCGCCTCATTCTAAAACTCCAAAAAATGACAACCCACCTCCACCTCCACCTAGAGTTTCTAAAAATAAAGATAAGCCTTATATCCCTGCCATAACTGGCACGATTCCCTTAGCAACACCAACAGCAACAGTTTCATTGGAAGACTTACCCTCAGCAATCTTTGTTCAAGGTTCACTCGATTCCTCTGATGCCTCATCATGTAAATAATTAATGTTTATTAATTTTAAAAGATTATTTTAATTTTAAAAAAAATACTGATCAATATTTTCTTGATTTAAAAAGCGAATTTTGTTGGTATGAAAGTAAAATTAACACCCTCACTGCCTTGGAGCAGAATTTGCAGCGATTCTGACATTCCTGCGTTATTTGCCAATGTGCTCCCGAAAGAGATAACGAATGCCATTTCCAAACAAAACAATGTTAAAATATCACCAGATAAAGTAATTGTAACTAAATTATTACGTTCACAGGATGATGATAGTGGGTTTGTGTACATGAAAGTTCCAAAAACACAAACTGATAATATTGAAAATGTTTTGACAAATAAAAACAGCCAATTTTATAAGAATGATAAGTCATTATTTAGAAATTTAGTAGATCCTAACTATCCTATTACTCTAGAAGGTTAGTGTAATTAATTAACAGGGTGTTAATTTGTATTATGAACATTTTTACAATCCATCTCTTTCTTTAGATAATTCGGTGGCAGACTCCCAAGATGAGAATGTCAATAATTCATCCAACAATTCATCTAATGGCATTGGTGCAATTATTGTAATAGCAGTTTGTGGATCTACATTATTATATGCTGGATTAACTGCGCTTGTGGTTCGAGCCTATAGGAGAAGTAAAAATAGGGCGTCTGCAGCTAGGCAGAATACATATAACACGTATACATATTCTGTACAAGCTTAATTTTAAAAACACAAAAGGGTTTAATGTAAAGCGTGTAAAGTTTGTGCTTTACCAATTCATATATAGATGGGAATTGTACAGTACAGAGTTAAACTTATTAAAAGACTGTATGTATATATTTTCCTTTTAAACTTTGAACGTTTATAAAAGTTGAAAATTTTGGCGATAAGGTGGCTTTTTTCTTTATTTGTCTTGTATAATTGTTTTTCTTTTTATTCATTAGGTATTTCGGATTTTGAACAATTGATATTTTTTGAGTTTGACTATTAGGTTGACTTTGTTATAATGAAAAAATTGTTTCTAAAAAATATTATGTGAATAGAACATAGATGTATTGTTTACAACCACTAGTTAGTTTTTGTAATAATAATTGTAATAATATACTAGCTAATATCTTTAATTTGATCTTTAATTGGAAATATTTAAATAATTAAGGTTCCGGAATATCGTAGCGTATTTTATCTTTTTTTTTTTTTTTTTTGCAAAAATCTCATCATAAAGGTTTCTCAAAGAATCTTTTCACAGGAATAAAAATAAGTTGAAAATAATCTTTTAAGAAAAAATTGGTTCATATTATACGTATGTGTAAGTTTTAAATTTTTATCAAAATTACAAGTTCAAAATTTTTTTTTAGAAAAATCAAGAGGCAAAAAATATTATCCTAATTTGTTCTTGTGTGATAAACAACTTTATTTATTACTAAGATTTTAAATTTTAAATTATCTTATCAATAATCTCATTATAAAGTTTACTACAAGTCGCTCTCGTTATAGTGAAGTCATTGGCTATAAAACTTTCCTCACTATTAAATTATTTGTTAAAATACTTATATTATTTTTTTTAAAAAAAAAACAAACCTTTATTGGCCGAAGCGTAGCGAGGACTAATCTATTTGAGCACGTTCATGCAAGGTTATATGTACGAACTTCGCTTTATCAGATTGATTTTCTAGTATTCTATAAATTTATTGTGGCAGATTAAAATGAAATTCAGATTAAAATGAAATAATAATATAAAATCTCGAAAAATAAATTTTTTTGGTGTGTATTTTTTAGGGTTAGGGATTAGAATTAGGAGTTAGGATTAGAGTAAAATATATTAAACAAGTATAAGTGAGTTTTAGAAGGTTAGAAGGATGAATAAAAAATGTATATTTCATTTTAAATTATGATCTGCGACAGTAAATATTATTAATCTTTTAATAAAAATAAACTAAATCTCTACTTTTTATCAAAAAATTTTAGTAAAAGATAAGAGTAAAAGATGTTGTTGTATTATAAATATTCAAATTAAAGAATATCCTTTTTGCTATTTTTCTTGTCTTTTTGCTTTAGATTTTCTTAGCTAAAATACTGATATAATTTTACTTTTGCTGTCAGAATATCTTTCTGGCTTGGATACCTAATATACAAAAGAGTTTATCAAAGAAAAACTTAATTCAAAATACAAGCTTCTTAGTATTGTATTTTATTTTTTTATTTTTTTATTTTTAACTAACCTATTTAGGGCTAAGATTTTTATTTAAGTATTATTGAGTGGAAGGCTCATGGCTATTAGCTTCAAAGAAATTAAAGAGTATATACTAGCTACATGTATACTTTTGGTATCTATTTTAAGTAGTTTACCTACAATTTACATTATAGATTCTATACTAAATACTGTATCTATAACCTAATTATGGGTGTTACCTATTTAAACTCTCTGTAATACAATACTACTTGTATTACTAGTTCAGTAGACAACAAAAGTAATATCTAATTTGCAGATTACTGCATATAAACAAATAAAAGCACTGTACTTACCTATACTTTTATATTTTGGGTTAATTTTTCTATTTTTTGCTTCCTTGACATTTAAAGAACCAAACACAACAAAAAAAAATTTTTTTATAAAATGCTATAAACCCAAATGACTAATAAAGAGAAAGAAATAATTCTTGCTTATATCAGTCTAATGAGTGCTAAACAAGTTATTTACAAAATTGGTAGTAATTTAACAATAGTTCAAAGGTTTTTAGTGAAATACAAAAGAACTAAAAAAATTGCAAACAGATCTTGGTTCAGACATCTTCTACTCTAAAGAAGCAAAAAAAGATTGCTATATTAAAAAAAGTATTAAAAAAAGATATAAGTTCCTGTGCAGTATTATTAGTGCTCGGCATAATCAAATACAAACTTGATATCAAATACTTAGCTAATCACAAATTGGATCAGTTATTATACATATATACTAATTATAGTAT